TAGTACAGGTGATATAGTGTTGATCTACTGCAAAGTAACAACTGATCTATTTTCAATGATATAGCAGTAGGGGAAGGTCAAACAGTTTTAATTTTAAATGTTGACAGAGTCTGTACAACGGGAGGATCGTCGTCAGTGACATTTGTACCTGCCAATTTAATTCATAAGCAAATCGTATTTTTTGTCATTTTTCGGATGTCGGATGTCATTTTTCGGATGCCGTTTTGTTCGATTGTATGATTTATTAATATAAAATTTGTTTATTTATATTAATAAAGTTTAAAAAACCTAATACGGCCGAGAGTTTTTATAGTAGGCCCACCAACACGACGGGAAACTCGTTTATAAACATAATAAAGTTCGAAACGGAAACCTGAGACGCGCTGCAGTTCATGAACTGAATGAAGTCTACACTCTACACGTTTATACGCTTGTTTGATTATATAAAACATTATCTTGGCTATGCAGCTGATGATATACAAGCCAATCAAAATATTGTATTACAATTTTTATCAGCTACTGTCTAGGATCTAATGAGACGGTACAAAAATTAATATAAAATACCGTATAATCGAAAAAAACAACAGCGTCAAAGACGGCTGGGGAATGACAATCGATGGTAATTGTGGCAAGGTCAATCTCTAGACATCATTTACTAAAAATTTATGCCAAACTTGTCGGAAATTAACACTAATTATAGAGAGATTTTTCATACACGCAAATGTATTTCCAAAAATAAAATATTTTCTCTAATTTAAAACTACACTGTTTAAAATAATTTTACTCAATATAAAAATAACATCTAGGGCTTGACCTCGCCAAAATTATAATCGATTGTCATTCCCCAGCCGTCTTTGACGCCATTTTTTTTTCGATCATATGGTATAAAGATTTTATTGTCAAACTTGGAGTTTATGCACCAAAATTTTTTCAAATAAATTTCTTTATTTCGGAGATTGTGTAGCAAAATAAAACACTAATTCATCACAATACACTAAAATATTTTTACTTTTGCACTGAAAGTTTAAAAACCCAGTAAAAAGCACTCTGCAGAACTTTACAGTGCAAAAATAAAAATGTTTTAATGTATTGTGGTGAATAAGTGTTTTATTTTGCTGTTGTAACAGCAAAGGTTCCAAGCCCCAACTGTAATTTGAGGAGATTATGTAGTCTGGGCCCGAATTCTGTAACGTAGAAAACGCTAAGCGCTTTTAGACGCTCAGCGTATATGACGTTAATTTTTGCTGAGCGCGCACTTCACTAACGATTTGGGTATTCTCGTCTGACGCGCTTAGCGTCTTTACTGATTGCGCTAAGCGCTTTAAAAACGGTTGCCTTAAAGGATCGTTTTGCTTGTCGAACTGTCAGTGAAAATCGAAAAAATTGTGATTTCGTGCGTTATCTTGCTCTTTAGTGAAAACTACTACTTGTTCTATAAATTCCTAAATAAGTAATCGACAAATTACAAGTTGGTAGCTATAAATATTGTTCAAAACATCGAAAATTCTGAGAAGCGTCTTCAACATTTCCCTCGTATAATAAGAATAATGACATATCCATAGAAAAATAGGTTGACATAACTCAACAATAGGTTATAAAATTCACGTAACATTGACATTTTTCATTGTTTCAGTCACATTTGACTATTAGATACCTGCGAAATTACGATGCTGTCAATATGTGCTCAACGCGTATCCAGAAAACGATTCGCACAGCAACGAGAATACCAAAATCGACTGCTTGACGTTACGCTTATCGCATACTTTCGCTCACCGCTTTGAAAGCGTAACGTTTTTATGTCAAAGTTACAGAATTCGGGCCCTGCTCAACGATAGATTGACTGACAGTGACAATTGTCTGTCGTTTATTGTCGATATCATGTATATATTGTAGTTGGGGGTTGGAACCTTTGGTGTTATACAGCAAAATGGAACACTAAATTACTACAATACACCAAAACACTTCTAAGTTTACACTGGACGCGTGTTTCGTTAACCATGTTAGCATCATCAGCAGATGATTAAAACTCAATGTTTTACTTAAAGTTTTAATCATCTGATTTGGTTTTAATCATCTGCTGATGATGTTAACAACCGTTGGTTAGTTGACAGATAAATCATGCTTTAAACGTCAGTTGTTTATCAGTTGATTGGTTGACAACTGACGTTTAAAACATTGTTTATCTGTCAACCATAACCAACGATCTTTAGCTCGAAATTCGGTAGTAAATTCGCAGTAATTTCACAACCATGTTAGCATCATGAGCAGATGATTAAAACTCAATGTTTTACTTAAAGTTTTAATGATCTGATTGGGTTTTAATCATCTGCTGATGATGCTAACATGGTCAGCGAAACGCACGTCCAGTGTAAAAGTAAAAGTGTTTTAGTGTATTGTAGTGATTTAGTGCTTTATTGTGCTACCGTGTATATAAATATTCACCTTCTCTCATTGGATAAACTTTAGTTGAAATGTGCTGTATACTAAACACCGCGTAATTCAATATGATCGAAAAAAAACGGCGTCAGCGACGGCTATGAATTGAAGATCGCTGTCAATTTATATAGTATGCACCCGGATTGTCTTTACAACAGGAAAAACTTTTTTATTATTGAGATTTGGAGGAAAATGCATTCTACATAAAAACTTTTGCTCGTTCTAAAATGGTTAATCCTGTTTATACTTTTCCAAATCTCCATACCGTTTTAGAGAAAAATAACAAAAAAAAAACATGAAAATATGGTTGAATTTTCCTTTAAGTCCTAAAAATCAAAAGGCGTTTCTATGGACCTAATCACCGCGACCTTATCGATCTATGTTTCTATGGTAATATCATTTCGATTTTATTCTTTGCCAGATAGGCTACGACTTTGGCAGATTCTTATTATTTTTGATTAACGTCAAATTTTTTGCTGTTGTTTTGTTGTACCAAAATAAAGTCACATTTTCCGATAACTGTTATTAACCCTTTCTGTAGCATTGAATTCAATTTTGTGATCCCTTTTAAAACAGCAAAAATATGACGTTAATTAAAATTCTATCAATAACAATCTATCAAAGAATGAAAGCGGAATGATATTACCAAGAAATGCCTTTTGATTTTTAGGACTTCACCATGTTTTCATGTTTTTTTTTGTAATTTTTCTCCATTATTGGATTGAGCATTTAAGAACAAGCAATGAAGAATGTATTTTAAGACTTAAATTCAACTATATTTTCAGTTTTTATTTAATTTTTAATTAATTTTCTCTAATTTATAAAAGTATAAACCAGACACGGCCGACTCTAAATACAGACGGCTATGAACCAGATTAACTATTTTAGAACAAGCAAAATTTTTTATGAAGAATGCATTTTCTGAAAAATGTCATTAATAACAAAGTTTTTACTCTTGTAAAGACAATCCGTGGACATACTGTATGTAAAATTATATGGGGAATGTTATTGATGTCCATTTCCAAGCCAAATGGACGCTATTTTTTTCGATCATACAGGAATAACGTTTGAAGTGATAATCGATCTTAATTTCTGTGCTATTGTGGACCGAACCCTAAATTGCATTAATTAAAAACTTTAAAAAACTGAAATAAAAATTAGTCAAAAAATAATATTTATATTAAAAACACATTTTTTTTAAATATACGGTATGTCCCAAGTTATTCCTAAATAAATGCTTTTTCCAAATATGATAATGAGCCATTCTTGTTCCATTTGAAAAAAAATGAGTTATTAAAAATACGATTTGGGCATCTTTTAATCGGTCAATAGAGGACACGAAATAGATTAGATAATCAAATATATTTTAAAATTAGTGGTTTTTACACAGTCATGGCAGTCTACAGTATATCCCCGGATTGTCTTTACAAAAGGAAAAACTTTTTTATTATTGAGATTTTGAGAAAAATTCATTTTTCATAAAAATGTTTGCTTGTTCTAAAATGGGTAATTCCGTTTATACTTTTTCAAATTTCCATACCGCTTTAGAGAAAATTAAAAAAAATGAAAATTTCGTTTGGTAGGGTCAAGTCCTAAAAATCAGAAGGCGTTTCTATGGTAATATAATTTCGATTTCATTCTTTGATAGATGGTTATTATTAATTTTGAATAACGTCATATTTTTGCTGTTGTTATAGTATGACATATTCCGATAGCTATCACCCTTTCCGTAGCATTGAACTAAATAAATGTTGTGTTTCTTTAACATTTTAAAACAGCAAAAATATGACGCTAATTAAAATTCTATCAATAACAAACTATCAAAGAATGAAAACGAAATTATATTACCATAGAAACGCGTTTTGATTTTCAGGACTTTCAAAAAATTCAACTATATTGTCATATTTTTTCTTAATTTTCTCTAAAACGGTATGGAAATTTGAAAAAGTAAAAACTGAATTACCCATTTTAGAATAAATAGACTCGAAATGTCAATAATCATTTTTTTTCCACTTGTAAAGACAATCCGGGGACATACTGTATATATATTTTACTCGCTAGATTTGATTATGAGTATAAAATAGCGATATAAAATAAACTCACTATTCGCAAATACTAACCGTTAATCGTAATAACATTTTCTTACATTATTTGAATCGATTAATCAACCATAAGTTATTACTGGTATATTCAGATTTATATCTTCGAATCTAGATATAACAGAATAAAACGAGATTTTGTTAGCGAATTCCATCGACTCTTTTTCATATCTTTTAGGTATTATTCGGTGTATTATAACACTGAAACGTCGATTTTTAAAAATAGTGAATAGGAGATTAAATTTTTCCTGTTCGTTTCAAAACAGATATTTGGGTTTTGCCTTCCCAAACCTCACTGGTTGATTCTGGTTAGAGAGGTATGAACTAGTTCCTAATGTATTCAGTACGGGAACACAAAGTTCTAATTTGCTTCACTAGGTGGGTCGCTTAATCAGTGTATATTACATTATAAAGGCGGTGATAAATAATGAGTTAATAGAGTAATTTAGAGAATTGAAAAAATACCTTTTGACAGGATGGTATGCTGTAATTGATGGTAGAGGAGAGCTTTGCAGGACAGCATCAGAGGGAATCTGAAAATAAACATAAACTAGGTATATTAAGATGGTTTGGAATGGAGTTATAATAAACTATTAGTAGAACAATTCAAGGCCCAACTATAGACCTTCAAATGATGCTTAGGTAAAGAAAATGTATATTTTTGTTATTTCCTATTTTCTTATTATTTTCACAAAATTTTTCGTTTGCCAAAAAGCAAAGCAATTTCTTCTGATATACCGGGTGCATCTCACAAGTGGCTCACCCTTATAACTTTTTTATTTTTTCAGAAATGAAAACGAGATTTGGTATGTTAGTATATGACATAAATTAGGATCGATTGACGTATTCAAAATTGTTTTGGGCACTTACTATTTCATCGCAAATTAGTACAACTTATGATTTTTAAATGGGACCCTCGGTATTTTTTTTTTACTTTATCCGATAGAAAATTACACTCTGAATAGAATGACAACTTTTGACATTTTCGCATATGGTTTATTTGAAATTGTAACATACGGTTCATAACAACAATTTGACTCGAAATACCAAGTGTGTGGTACCAAATTATTCGTAAAAAAATACTTTTTCCAAATATGCTAATGAGCCACTTGACTTGTTCCGTTAGAAAAAATTGATATGATTAAAAATACGATTTGGGCATCTTTAAACCGACCAGGACAAGACGCGAAGAACATTAGACGATCAAATATATTTTTCCAAGGCTCCTTGATTAAAAACTAGTGTTTTTAACAGAGCCACTCGAGATTGAAATTTAAAATACGATTTTTTTAAGCAAAAATATCAAAGTTGTCATTTCCTTGGACCCAATATTATGGCAATTATAGTATTATTAATAATTTCATATAAAAAATGTTGATATTCAATTTCAATTTCTCCCTATACAAGATAACATTTTATAAAAGTAATTATATTAAATATTTTTTCATAGAATAAAATAATGTGTGAGGTTCAAGTTAACGTCTCCTTTCTGCTGCAATGGCTAAACTGGACGGGACCTACTTGTTTACGCGGAATCCGAACCGCGGTCCTCGGCCATATCATGGTCAATGGCCTACCGACTTAGGAAGTGTCTAAATTAACTCTTACTCACGAGATATCCGATCTCATCCGGCCTTGAACCGGCGTGAATGAGCAGTGTGTATCAATAGATTTTACACTTTTCCCTTTTTGGACAACAGCACGATGCAAAGTTTCGAACCGGTCACCCGTCCATCCACTAGCATCGCCTTACGTCGCTTAACTTCGGTGTTCTAATGGGAACCGGTGTTTCGACGTAGCTGGGCCGTTGCCCAAGAATAAAATAATATTACAGGAGCTTTTAAATTATTCGAGTAGATAAAGAAATGCGAAAAGAAAGTCGTATAAAAATTTTGTATAATATAGTTTTTTAAAAACGTATTTTTATACAATACATATTTTTGAGGTCGGTCAAGTTTGCCCCCCGTACTAGAGGAAATTCAAAAAGAGATATACCACTATTTTGCACACATTTTGCACACCATAAATGATATTTTGCACACTTACTTAAGAGAAACCAGAGCCGTTTTTTAAACGGGGGGCAAACTTGACCGTTCCCCCCCATTTGTTACGAAATTGATTTATTTCTATGTACATCAATTCGGCTAATTTTGCACAATTTTGCACACCTATTTTTAAATTTTGCACACCCTCCTGACGAAAGTTATAAGGGGTTGAAAATTTGAAATTTCCCCCCCATCTGTGACTAAATTGAATTTTGTTTATATCAAACGAATGGGCTAATTTTGCACAATTTTGCACACCTGTTTTTGAATTTTGCACATTCTCCTGACTAAAGTTATGCGGGTTTGAAAATTTGCAATTTCCCCCCCATCTGCTACGAAATTGAATTTCATTTATATCAAACGAATCGGCTAATTTTGCACAATTTTGCACACCTATTTTAGAATTTTGCACACCTTCCTGACGAAAGTTATGAGGGTTTGAAAATTTGCAATCCCCCCATCTGCTAAGAAATTGACTTTTGTTTATATCAAACGAATCGGCTAATTTTGCACAATTTTGCACAGCTACTTTCGAATTTTGCACACTCTCCTGAAAAAACTTATAAGGGTTTGAATATTTGAAATTTGTCCCATTGTGTGTGAATTGTCTCATTTAAAAAACATAAGTATGAGTCATATTTGAAAATGACAGATCTCAGCGACGCGACGTGGAAAACTGTACGGAACCCAGACTTCACCTTTTCGATAAGTTATAGGATAACCGAGATACGAGGGTTGTCGAAAAATGCAAAATTTTCAAATTTGCCAGGTATTTCAGGAAGTAAGAGGGCTAGGACAAATCTGTGTGTAGAATCTTTAGTTTCATAAATGTTCTTCTATGCAAGCTATAAATTATCGAAAAGGTGAAATCTAAGTTACGTGTAGCTTTTCACGTCGCTGAGATCTATCATTTTCGAAATATGACTAATACTTTGTAGTTTTAAGTGGGACATTTCACACACAATGGGACAAATTTCAAATATTCAAACTCTTATAACTTTTGTCAGGAGAGTGTGCAAAATTTGAAAATAGCTGTGCAAAATTAGCCGATTCGTTTGATATACACAAAATTCAATTTCGTGACAGATGGAGGGGAAATTGCAAATTTTCAAACCTTCATAACTTTAATCAGGATGGTGTGCAAAATTCAAAAACAGGTGTGCAAAATTGTGCAAAATTAGCCGATTCGTCTGATATACACAAAATTCAATTTCGTGACAGATGGGGGGGAAATTGCAAATTTTCAAACCTTCATAACTTTAATCAGGATGGTGTGCAAAATTCAAAAACAGGTGTGCTAAATTGTGCAAAATTAGCCGATTCGTTTGATATAAACAAAATTCAATTTAGTCACAGATTTGGGGGAATTTAAATTTTCAACCACTTATAACTTTCGTCAGAAGGGTGTGCAAAATAAAATTCAAACAGGTGTGCAAAATTAGCTGAATCGATGTACATAGAAATAAATCAATTTCTTAACAAATGGGGGGGAACGGTCAAGTTTGCCCCCCGTTTAAAAAACGGCCCTGGTTTCCCCTAGGTAAGTGTGCAAAATATCATTTATGGTGTGCAAAATTGTGCAAAATGTGTGCAAAATAGTGGTATATTTATTTTTGAATTTCCTCTAATACGGGGGGCAAACTTGACTGACCTATATTTTTAGAATCAAAATAAGCTTATTATACACAAAACCCGTTGATGCGCTTGAAAATTCGACTCAACAAAAAAAACAAGAAAAATACGGGAAGAGTAAAAACTATCTAAATCTCTACATAAATTATAATATAAATATTTTCCAACACCACCGACGACTGAATTTTTAGCCGACCATACCAATAGGTATGGTAGGCTATTAAGATCGGTAAAAAAAAGTTTTTTTAATTTCACTCAAAATGAGTTATTTGGGTCATAAACGACCTAAATACAAAATATTTTCATGGTGTCTGTCTGTCTGTCTGTCCGTCTGTAACCCGATAACTCAAAAACCGCTGAACCGATTTTAACCAAATTCGGCACAAAAATACTGTGGCACCCGAGAATCTGGCCATTAGTTTTTGGTGGGGGTGGGGTGTTGGTAAGGAGGTATGGGAGGGGGTTAAAAATTTAAAAAATCGTAACTCCAAAATTACAGTAGCTAGCGAAACGCGGTTTTCAAATTAAGATTAGGAATAATATTTACAACAAAATTTGTAATAACATCAAAATCAGTCAAAGTCGCAGTTTTCGAGATATTAACATATTTTAGTATGGGCGGCTACACGTGCCTCCCGGCGCCAATTTTTTTCCCGTAAAATTGCCCTCCTAGTATTTAGTACATTTTGGGCTCTTGAAAACAACACATCGCATAGTTTTTGAGGACACATTTTTTTATTTTTCCAAAGCCAGACCTACAAAATATACAAGGAGTTCCAATATTCCGTGAACATAGAACAGATACGTATTTTTTAAATCAAAATATGTTATTTGCACACAATTTATCTCTATAAAAAGTATTTCGTATGCCCGTTAGGGCGTTAATAACAAATAAACCCGAACATTAAATTAAAATTTACGAAGCTTAGTGTCAAATATAATTTATGATAATAACATAACATTCCATATTTTCGCCAACTAGTTTATTAACGTATACTAGATCTTATGCGCCTACATAACTTGATGACAAGAAATATATTTTGCAAACCAGCTTCGAAAAAAAAAATCTCAAACAGTATGAGCGGTGGCGTTTTCTTAAATGAGATAAAAATGTAGTAAATACTAAGAGCATTTTACAACAAAAAGGTGGAGTCGGAAAATATTTCTACTAAAATGTATGTTGAGGTGGGGGTAGATTTCACCCTTCCTGTCCTTTGTCTTGATTTTTGTGAAAGTCTAATGTTAAAGCGCTTAGCAAAATATAGGCACCCTAAATCTCATTCAAATAGGAAGAACCCGAACAACGGTTCTTAAAATATTTTAAAAAATGTGTGCTGACCTCTAACGAACAAACGAAACAATAGAGGCAAATTTTTAATTTCAAAAATACTTAGTAGATTGTATATCCACGGAATATTGGTACACCCTGTATGTTGTAGACTTTTAGATATGTTTATAGGCTTCATTTGTCTTATTTTTAATATAAGAATTTATTAGAATTAAAATCTAATGCTAATTATAAAAATAGTATAGTTATAATATGTAGCTTACACATTTAACATGTACATTAACGAATGATAATTTCAAAATAAATTAACATTGAATAGAATGACTAAATTATTAATACTTTAATTATATACCATGCATATTGAAGTCATCTCAAATCAGAAAAGTATTCTTTAATTATTTATATAGTTTCTCAAACTCCTTTAACTGCAGTTTTTTATCATATTCTAGAAAAAAACTTTTACCTTTATGATATATGTATGTACACGGTGTCCCATATTCGAGCCTCATTATTGGGAGCTCGAAAACTAGAGGTAGTACGAGGTCGGTTAAATTTAGGCAAAGTTGCC